AGTGGGTCTCAGTGGAGTTGTGCCTCCAATGCCAATAGCTCCAGGATGCCCCACAGACACCCCAGCGATGCTGACCACTGAGTCCAGCCGGGATCTCAGGTTATCATCTTAGCATCCCCGCAAGGGGTTCCCCCCACCCCGAACCAAGGCAGACAGCTTTGCAAAACCCAGGCAGCCGATCTCCAGCCCCATGCTCTGGGCAGAGACCTGAGACCTTGGCACGATGCCGGATGGGACCTGGTGCCCGGGCTCCCGCTGCCCGACATATGCTGGCTCTTCCTTGCTTATTCTCCGAGGAGGGATTCCCGATGCTGGTGTCCTGCCGCGTGCCTGGGCTTGGTCCCAGCCAACGGCGGGCACGGCAGGGGCCGCTTTCGGGCATCCGCGGGGCCCTGGCTGCCTCTCAGCGGCTCCTGCACTTCCGAGGTTTGCTGGAGCGCTGGCTGGAGCTGCAGCGTGCTGGGAACGCCGGGCTGGGCTTCGGCAGGGGCTGCTCCCTGCCCGCGGTGCCCGCTGCCACCGCGGCTGCACAGGACGGTGCAGGCAGAGGTGAGCGACAGCACAGCCATGGGGACAACGCTCTGAGCCTCGTCATCTGCCTCCAGCAGAACAGGCAGCTAACATTCCCTTTCTTCCTTGATTTTCTTGGTTTCTCACTCCCGTCAGCTGTCTGGGATTTTAATTTCAAAGGAAATACCGTGTGTTTTCTTTGCTCTCTGATTTGCTCCAGCTCTGTACTCGTTAGTGCTTCTCAATTTTAACATGGACCTTTGGGACCAGCAAGTGCTCCAGGTGGTGGTGCTGGAAGAACTGGGGCAAGTGCCCATGGTGGGGCCAGTAACCACATCTTTAACCTGCTGCATTTTGCCGTGCAGGAGGGTGGAGGGTTGCTGGGATGAGGCCACATTAGTGCCCCACAGAAAAGGGACCTTTCTGCCCCAGGAAGCACCACCTGCAAATCCTGAGTCCAGCATATTCTGCAGAGAGAGCTGGGAAGGTACATGGGGCTGGAGTGGGCTCTGGGACAGGGGTCCCTGTGCCTGGGTGGAGATGTTCACAGGGCAGCACCGTTATCTGGAGGGCCTGGTATTGGGACCCCAGGGAGTGGGGCATGGAAATCCCTAGCTCCTCCTGATAAACCTTCTGGTAGTACATGAAACTGCCACCTATGCGGTGGGGAATAGGTTTCATCGATGTTCATGCCATGGGTGTGGAGGTTTAATCAAAGTTTGAACATGGTTCTGCTGCTGGGTCAGGTCCCGTGTCCTGCCTCGTGCTCCCCTGGTACTTACAGGAGTTTGCATCTTGACCAAGTTGATCGGGTTTCTTTTGGGACCATTACCCTCTGCTCACATCCTGCAGGTCTGGAGAGCAAATAAAGACCACTGAATTCCAGCTAATGGCATGCAAAGCTCCCAGCTTTCCCAACGGGCCTCCTCAAAAAGCAGCTCCAAAGGCCATGTGGTTGCTCCAGCCTGAACAACTTCTGGGGAAGGTGCAAAGCTGCCCACAGGGCTTGAGCTCAGGCAATTCCAATTGCAATTAGCAATGCCAGGGATGTCTGAGAGGAAGCTGTCAAGGGAATACTCAGATTCCCATCTTCCTTCATCTTCTACCCAAGATCAGACACCTTTCTAGGAGGAACAGAGTCATCACCCAATTAATTGAGCTGAATGCACAGGTAGTGGGGGGAACCTCTATTCAGTGCTAGGCAAAAGAAGAAAGAGCAGAAGGCTGTGGAGAGCTCTAGCACAGCAGACCCTCTGGTCTCATCCTGAAGTCTCCAGGACGTGGATGCCATTCATGTGCCATGTCCACTGGTGGAGCTGGCTGATCACCATTCGAGATTGGAGGCAAGAGACTAGCTCCTGGCAGCTCTGATCTGTGCACAGCAGCAGCCACCTGTGTCATTTTCTCTGTGTTTTTTGAGGAACTCAAGAGCCAGCCGAGGTGAAGAGCAACAAGCAGCAGAGCCCTGAGCAAAAGCCACCATGAATGGGAAGATTTGCACTGACACTCATCCAGAAATTAAAGTTCTGGTGCTATTTCATAGTGAAATACTGTACTCACAGGCATCCCCCTGTTTTTCTTGAGTTCTTTAACCTAGCTAGAATGGGAAGCTATGGAGATGGTGGACCACTGCCCAGTCAGCTGGAGAGGATGGCTCTGCACCCATTAATATGGAGAGCAATGAGAAATTCAGGGATAGAGCAGGAACTCCCACTACCTCCTCTGCCCAAGCTGCTGACTGCTGGAACAGCATCTCTTCTGCCAGGCAAAGCGGTCTGCCATAAAGAGCTAGCCCGATGCAAGATCTCACTACCCAATGACTCACTCACCGAAGTGTCCAAGCACACAAATGTGCTGCCAAAATCCAGGGAGCCCGAGGGACCTACAGCACGACCTGGGGTCCTTGCAAAACCAGGCAGGTGGGTTTTGTCTGACCTCTGCTCCCTTGTGGAGACTGTGTGCAGGCAAAGCATCTTCCCCAGCCTCCACCATGGGAAAACCCCCTCCAGCAGCATGACCTCTCCATCAAAACATTCCTTCAGAGGGATTTTTGCCCAGGCCTGAAGCACCAATGGATGCGGCAACTCCAGGAGCAAGAAAATGGCCTTCATGTTCAGCACACCTCTGGGAAGATGAGCTCTGCAGGCACCTCCCAGCTCTTAGCCCTGCGGACATCCTCAGGGCAGCAGATCAAACCCTCCTTCACCCCATCCGTGTGATGGCAGGTGCCAGCGCACAGCTAACATCATGAGCTGGGTTTTTCCCCACCTACAGCCTAATTGCATGTTCCACCTGAGCAACCTCCCAGGGCCTTGGTGAGAGGGCAGGAGAAGGGGGGTGAGAAATCCTCTGTCAGCTTCAACCCACTGAGGCTTTCTGGGGGATCAAAACAAGAGGCTCCAGAGTGATGGAGAGCCCCACAAGAGCTCCTTGGCACCCTGGGCTGCATCCTGCCTGGTCCCAGGGGCTGAATATGTCCCGTGTGAGGAAGTGGTCCCCATTTAATCCCTAAATCGTCCTTTGCTACAGGTAAAGCTTCACTCCTGCAGACTCTCTTGCTCTCCTGTGGCAGTGTAGAGCAGTGCAGAGCAGTGCTCTCTGAATGGCTTTGATTGCATGCCCTTTATCAGTGAATAGCTTCTGAGCATGCACCCCTGATATACGTATATTTATTCATAAAATCTATACATACACATTATAAAACATACACAGTAATAGACATTTTAAGAAGACAAGATTAAGTAAACACCACTTCTAATATAATTTTATTTGACTCTATTTATTAATGGTACCAAAAATACTTTCTTCCTGAACCCTAGCATTCTTTTGCTAGGGCACATGCACCCTGCTTTGGAGACCACTGCAGGTGAGTCTCACAAAAGGGATAGATGTTGCTAGTGATGCTACATGGTGTTGTCTCTCCCATTGGTGTCATGAGTTGCTGAAGGCTAAGCACGGAGCACACTCAGGATTCTGGTGCCTGACCCTTTCCTGCCACAGGGATTCTCCATCCTCTTCCCCTGCCTGTCACCTCCAGAGGTGCATAACAGATACTGAAGTAGCTACAACTGGCAAGAGCAGTCATGAAGTCAGAGGTTTCCCTGTCAGTGGGGAGAGCAGAGGGGTGCAGATAGCCCCTGCTCACCCTGTCCTGGGGCCCTTCCCCCTGGGAAGGGATGTGAAATTCCTGTTGTATTTCCAAAGGAGCTGCTGATTTTGTAGATGCCCTAAAAACCGGGTTCCCCAACTGGTCCTGTCTTGTTCGTGTGCTCTGGGAGGACAAGTTGTAGCCTCCCCTTAGTGGGATAAGGCGTCAGGTTCCTACTGGGAAATCCTTGGCTCTATGAGGGATGGGGCTATTTCTGATCACAGAAATCCATAATTTCTGCTAGGTGGGTGTCTTACGGAGTCTTACTTGTAAAGAAATCCCAACCCAGCATTCGGCCAGGTCTGTTTGCTGTGCCTCGAGGTGTATCCTTGCACGCACTGAGCAGTGGTTACAGCATCTTTTCACCCCATCCATTTGTGTCATTCCTCCCCCCCCCTTTTTTTTTTACAGCCACCAAGTAACACTTCCCTGGCTCCATGTGCTGCTGGGGGCCCCTGAACCCCCTTGAAGGCACATCATGAACCAGATTAATCTCCTCCTCCACTCAAGCTCCTGCCTTATCACCACCATTTTGCACATGGAAGTAGCTCTCCGTACCCAGGCTTAACTTTGACTCCTGAAACAACAAAGATCAATCCCCTGACAGTGGTTTTCTTACTTATACATAATTTATCGCATTAAGGGAGAGACATCCGGCTCTGCAGTGTCTGCAGGTCCAGCCCAGACGAGATTATTCACCACTTAACAGGAGATACAAGCCGCCAGCATTACTGCTGGGCTCTGCACAGTGATCCACCTTGGAAAGGGCTCGACTGAGGCATAAAAGCTCTTTCCAGAAAGCCTGCCAAAGCCCTGGTGTAGGTAAATGATTAAAAAAATAAGGTTTACCAAGGGCACCATCCCATACAGGGCAGTGTGTGGGCAGCCAGCACAGCTCCTCTATGGGGCAATGACTATTCCTTAGGAAACAAGTTCTCAGAATCAGTTCCTGGGAGAACTCCATGTCCAAGCAATTAGCAATGTTATAACATCCCTTTATGGTCTGTTCAGGTCTCCAGAGGACGTTGTGCCCCATCTTCCTGCAACCGGTCCAAGAGTGTGAAGACTTCTGCGGTGCTCCATGCTGGAAGAGCAGTACCTGGGCCCTGGGATGGGGTGGCACACAGCTCGCTCCCAGTGGGCTTTCTGAAGCTGGCACTATGAGCTCAGCCTGGCTGTGCAAACACACACACCGGGAGGCAATGCTGTGAATTGGGCACCCAGCCGCTGTGTCCTATCGGACAATAATGGGTCTGAGCACTGGATATGTGGGTGAGAGAGGGCGAGGAGCTGTCAGTTTTGCTCCCTCCCAACACCACCAGACCCCTTCAAGTGTGTTGGGTCACCGAGAGCTGCATCCCTGCCTCAGGGAGCGTGGAGGTCGCTCAGTGGCAATGCCTGACCCCTTGGTGGACATCTGTAACCTCCCCCTGCACAGGGCTTTCCTGATGGCACCCTTGACCTTGCTGTTTCGCAAGCTGTAGATGATGGGGTTGAGCATGGGGGTCACGGCGGCGTACAGCAGGGCCAGGACCTTGTCCATCTCCTTGGAGGCGCTGGAGTGAGGCACCAGGTACGCCACAGCCCCAGTGCCCAAGAACAGAGACGCCACGGTCAGGTGGGAGGTGCAGGTAGCAAAGGCCTTCTGCATCACCACTCCCTTCTGGAGGACAGCCCCGATGATGTGAGCGTATGACACAAGAGTGAGGAGGAAGGAGCCCATCGCTATAGTCCCAGCCAGAGCATACAAGGTGGCCTTGTTGAGGGGGCACTGGGGCTGCAGGATGCCTGCAGCAGGAAGGGCATCTCGCAGAACAAGTGGTCGATGACGTTGGAGCCGCAGAAGGGCAGGCGGGCTGTGAGGAAGGCCTGGATCAGGGATGAAAGGGAGCCACTCAGCCGCGAAACGGCCACTAAGCAGTGGCACGTCCTCCTGCTCATGAGCATGGGGTAGGGGAAGGGGTGGCAAATGGACAGATACTGGTCATAGGCCATGGCAGCCAGAAGCACACATTCAGAGCCCCCAAAGCAAAGGAAGAAGTAGATCTGTGTGATGCAGCCCACAAAGGAGATGGTCTTCAGCGGTGAGAAGGAGTCTCCAAGGATTTTAGGGAGGGTAACAGAGGAGTAGCAGATGTCCAGGAAGGAGAGGTGGCCCAGGAAGAAATACATGGGGCATTGCAGGTGGGTGTCCAACCAGACAAGGGTCACAATAAGCAGGTTCCCCAGCACTGTCACCAGGTAAACGAGCGAGAAGAACAGACAGAGGATCACCTCTGCTCCGTAGGCACTGGAGAATCCCAACAGAAGGAACGTGGTGGGGCTGCTGAGATCTCCCTGCTGCAGGGCCTCGGGGCTCATCTGCAGGGAGAGCAGGAGGTAAGGACAGGTAGAACGAGGGTGAGTGCTCTCCCCTGTCAGCGGGCATCCCCAGCCCTGGGATCTGCTCTGTGGTGGGCTGAAGCTGTGCCCATGCCCTGCACCCCTCACACCTTGCCAAGGGCTCAGGGGTGTACGGTGGTGGGGGCTGCTGTCAGCCCATGGGGTTCAATCCTCCAGGCAACCCCAACCCCCTGTCACTCGAAGGACACCCGAATGAGCTGGAACGTCACCCCCATGCTCGAAAAGGATCCCAGGGGCTCTCAAACGAGTGCAGCTCCTCTCACCCCTCCAGCTTCCCTGGGCTGCAGTGGGACACTGGTCTGAAGATCCCACAAAACGTGACAGGTTGGACTTGCCTGAAAAGAAGCTGTTGTTCATGGGAGCACACTGTGTTTACATCATTAGTAAAGGTACAGCAAGATCTGCTTTCCCTTATCCATCACAGGCTGTGAGAGCAGAGCTCAAAAAAGACATCTTTAAATGATACAAAGAAAGTGACTGTTTGGAAATACTGCACTGGAGATGTGACCCCCCTGCAGCCCTGATCCAGCTCTGGAGCAGCAGCACAAGGGGGATGTGGAGCTGTTGGAGTGAGTGCAGAGGAGGCCATGGAGATGCTGCGAGGGCTGGAGCAGCTCTGCTCTGGAGCCAGGCTGAGAGAGCTGGGCTGGGGCAGCCTGGAGAAGAGAAGGCTCCTGAAGGGGAGACCTGAGAGCAGCTCCAGTGCCTAAAGGAGCTGCAGAAAAGATGGAGAGGGGCTTGGGACAAGGGCCTGTAGGGACAGGCCAAGGGGAATGGCTTTAACCTGCCAGAGGGGAGACTGAGATGAGCTCTTAGGCAGAAGCTCTTCCCTGGGAGGGTGCTGAGGCGCTGGCACAGGGTGCCCAGAGAAGCTGTGGCTGCCCCATCCCTGGCAGTGTTCAAGGCCAGGTTGGACAAAGGGCTTGGAGCAAGCTGCTCTAGTGGAAGGTGTCCCTGCCCGTGGCAGGAGTTGGAGCTGGATGAGCTTTAAGGTCCCTCTAACCCAAGCTATTCCATGACTAATATGATTCTAATCCTCATGTTCAGACCTAGAGCACAATGCAAGACCTCTGAGAGTATGAGACATCATAGGAGGACCAGAAAGGCAACTGAAGGTGACCATGTTGTTCACAGGCTTGAGGGTGGCAAGGAAAAGCAGAGACACTGGCCTGCGGGAAGAAGGGAAGACTCTGAATCTAATGAGAAACTGGAGCTTGGGTATAAATGGAGATGAGACACAGAAGATTCTGAGTGTGAACCTAAACCTACTGAATCCACAGAAAGGGCACTGAGGAGATGATCAGATTTGTGCACGCTGCAAGAAGCTGTTGGAGCTGCCTGCTGGTCTTTCCAGAGGGAAGTGTGGGAGCATCTTCACCAGGAGAAGAGGTGGGTGCCAAGCTGAGGGGACTTGAGCACCCTCAAGTGACATTGCCAGCTACCTCCAAGAGGAACAAGGACAACCCCACCGTGCTGGGGATGTGCTCCGCGGCGCGGAGATGCCGGGGTGGGCGCTGCCTTTGTCCTGGTGCCCAGCAGCTGGGGTGAGGTGTGAGCAGGGAGGGAGTGAGCAGCAGGTAGCCAAGGCTGGGTGCCACAGCGGGGGCTGGGACCCATGCTCGAGATGCTGGGAGCCTCCATGGACGCTCTCCTCTTAATGCAGGGAGGCAGCAGGATGGGAGAAGCCTTCAGGGATCTGATGCCAGGCTTTGAACCACAAAGTGAATGGATGTCAAGGAGAGGCATGTCCTCTCCCTGCTGGTTTGGGTTGTACTGGAAGAGCAGGAGCTGGTAAACAAGGGCATAACCACAGAGGGAAGGGAAAGACTGGTAGGGATAAGAGCAGCTGGGGAGTGGGTAGCAGAAGGTTGGTGTCTCCTCTGGCTCAGGAAGAGCAGATGGTCCATAGCAAACAAACGATTGTGGCCTCTGCAAAGCTATGGGGGAACTCCATAGGCACCAGAGGTATGGGGGAACTCAAATTACTATGTGTCCCCCCCCATGGCAGCAGATGTTCCCAGAAGTCAGAGAAATAGCTCTGAGCAGAGTAATGGAAGTGACAGGAGGAGAAAGTGCAGGAAGTGAGGAAGGGTAGGACAGCATGAGACACTGAAAGGCACCATCAAAATGTCTTCAGGGATCTAAATTGCCTTGGGAAGGAGTGAAGGGAAGGTCTGGGAGCCTGTCACACATTCCCAGCCAGACTGAGGGGATGGCAAAGCTCCAAGGGAGAAATTAGTCCAGGAAAAGTAAGTCTTTGGAGGGGTGATGCTAAATAAATCACAGCCTCATCTGTAATGGTCATTCCAGATCTCCCTGGATATGACACCTCACGTGGCTCCTCACCAGGTCACTGCAGAAAGTGATGAGGTTTTCTTGTACCTGTTCCTGAAAAAGAGGCTGTTTTTAGAAGAGCTGAGAAAATAACTTCAGCTCAAGTAGGGATGAGTCAATGCCATTCTGCAGAAATGGCAAGATCAATAGGAACAGATTGGTGGCTGTGGCTGTGAACAAGCACAAATCAGGACATGGGAGGAAGGCTGGTTACTGCAGCTGGGCAGACTGGGGATGTTGAGCCTGCAAATGTAGGAAAGAGCTGGCATTTCATGAAAGAAAAGGTGCAAAACCCAGCTAAGAACTCCCTTTTGAGCACAAGGCAGAGGCTGCTGGAGAGGGGCTGCTCCCTCTGCAAACAGGGAACACAGACACCAAGGAGAATGTTTGGCAAGAGTGGAAAGCCTGCAAGGAAAGGAGAGAGCCTGAGAAATGGTAAGGGAAGCCTGCACTGAAGATAGAGGAGTGCAGAGAGTCTGTGGGGATCGCTTACAGCGTGACACATACACCTTCAGCCATGCAGGTGAAGGTCAGGCAGCCCGCAGCGCTCAGCGCCCTGGGAGCCTGGTGTCCCCACTCCCAGTTCCCCAGGAGGACAATGACAGTTTATGGCAAAGGGAGGCTGGCTGGTGGCAGCAGGAGGGCAGAGAGCCAGCAGCGTTAAGGAGGGAGGAGAGTCTCCAGAGCTCTGCTGCGTGTCAGAAGGGCTGCAGGACAGGAGCACTCCCGCACCTGAATCCATGAAGGATGCACAGTGCTTGCCCTGCAGTCTTTGTGATGGGGCTCTATTCGTTGGGAGAAGAGGGGCCCAGCACCAGGCATTTGCGAGGCTTTAGGGGAAAGAAGCAGCAAGAAAACTGGGTGTGTGCAGGAGCTCTGACACTGTGGAGCAGTCTGCCTGCCCACAGCATCCTTAGCTGGAGATCCCGTGGTCTGGTCAGCCCAGGGCAGTGCTGAGCTGTGTGGCACAAGATGCCAAACTGCCCATGGCGGCAGCAGGAAAGTTTCCACCCATGTGGGAAAATCCTGATGCTGTGGAGTGAGTGTTCATGAGACCCTGCCCGGTGGTGCTCAGGGGGCAGGGAGCCCACTCAAGGAGGAGGAAGAGGAGCCAGGCTGGCTGGAGAAGTGAGAGTCCATTGCAGAGGACATGGTCAGCCTGGAGAAGCAAAGCCAAGCAGGGAGATGGCTGTGGCATCAAGGAGCAGAGCCCTTAACTCAAGCATGATGCAGTGGATAGCACTGGCAGAGGTGAGCCTGCAAAAGCCAGGAGCTTAAACCCAACTACAAACATTACTTTGATCCAGGAATCTTCTTAGATCTAATACACCAGGGTTTAGACAAGGAGCTGAGGTCTCACATCATACCTTATCAAAGAGATTTGGGGTCCAAAGTGCTCACATCAAGGGGCTAAGGTAGGAGGGGCTTTGGTTCCTAAATCTTTCTTTTCCCTTTACCTAAAATAAACCTGTTTTAAGTATAAGTAGGTGTTCACAGAGCCTTTGCATTGGTTTAATGAAGCAGAGGTGGAAAACGACATGCCTGGTTCACCTGGAAGACATCACAAAGGCTCCTGGGGTGGGCACCCACTCCCATCTCTCCCCTATGCCCCATGGCCTCTCCAGAACTGGGTGCAAACCAAGACTCCAGTGTCCCCAGGGCACTGTCACAGTCTGGGCTACCAGGGAACCAGCTGGGTTTCTGTGGCACCAGTGGCCTCACTGGGAGTTCGAGGGTGCAGGAGGGACGAGGCACAGAGACCGCATCCTCCCCAGCAGCGGCCTCTAGCCCCCGAGCCAGGGAAGGAGGAGATGTCAGCGGTGTGCGACTGGAGCGCAAGTGGCTTCATTTCATTTCTGACCACTGCAGGGGTTTGCAGTTCCATCTGTTGATGTGATATCATTAGCTGGGTGGTCAGCCAGTCACTGGAAGTGTCTGTCTGCCTTTCCCACAAACCATTTGATTTGCGATCACATCTCATCTGAGACAAGCGAGTTGGAGGTAGGTGGGTGCAGGCTGTGCAAAGCTCGGGCCAGCACCACGGTCCCTGTGTTTGTGCAGCTGGATCCTGGAGGACTGGGAGCACGGCAGGACAGGGGCTGTGGCACAGGCGGACAGGGACACTGCAGCCCCGGGTGTGCAGCAGGGACAGGGCTCCCGTGCTGCCGGGGCTGACCCGCGGTGCTGTGAGACATGAGCCGGGCACCCAGGGACTCCCCCGGCCGCTGGGCCAGGAGGGGGACAACGAGGACACCCGTGTCTGCGGGTCACGGGAGTGGGGCACAGAGCAGGGCAGGGCAGAGCTGGCCTTGGCAGACCCTGCCATGGGGCTGGCTCCTTCCCCCCTCAGGCTCAGAGCTGCCCTGGCCTCAGCACTGAGCCGGTGCTGATGCTGGGACACCAGTGCCACAGCTTACCTTGAGCAGATGCTTCCTCTCCTCACACGAGGTGTGTCTGGCAGCACCGGTGCTCTGGGACACCAGGGTGATTTCCGTGTGCTCCTGGCAGCACCTGGGAACAGCTCCCCTGCTACAGCGCAGTCTGTAATTGCCCCGCACAGCCCCTTGGGCACAGCTCTTTGGGACGCTGTGGGAGCAGGGGAGCGCACTGCAAGGGAATACACTGGGTCCTGTGTCCCCCCAGGGACACTCCCCCGAGGGGTACTCCAGCAGCATCCCCATAAAGAAGCTCCCAAAACCCACAGGGGCCAGGACTGATGGACAGGTCTGAAGTTGACTTTGAACACCTAGAGACAGCAGAGGGGTGGTGCTGTGGTGGAGCTGGAGGCTCATGGTGGGCTCTGCAGCCAGAAGGGCTCAGAGACACCCTTAAGCAGGAGCCTGGATTCAGGAATATGTCAGAATTTGGTTCTTCAGCCTCTGCTTTCCTTTTCTAGCTTGTTTTTCCCTCTGCTGCACTCTGGAGAGACACCCCACCCCCCCCACCCCCCTGCAGCCCTGATCCAGCTCTGGGGCAGCAGCACAAGAGGGACGTGGAGCTGCTGGAGTGAGTCCAGAGGAGGC